AGCCAAGATCTAAGCATCCTGCCTATGCACAGTGGGGCAGGCTTTCCTAAACTCAAGCTCATGCTTCTGTGAGCCACACGACACTTTGGATGTTATTGGCATGGACAGCAAGCCTAGTAAGCAGGAAGTGACATTATTTTTTTATCATCTTCCAGGTGACTCTGAATAATGTGGAAGTCTGCAGTGAAAACATCTCAACTCTGAAGAAGACTCTGGAGGTACAAAGGAGATTGTTTGTAGTTTTTAGTACATAGAGCCGCTCTTGTTGGAGAAGAGGCACTCAACACCTGTCGTGCGGTGACTGAGCACTGTCTGACTCAGAGCCACACTTGTAGCTCCGTGGTGACTGGCAGCATAGCAAAGGACGCGTGCACCTGCTGGGAAGCTCCAGCCAAGAGCTGGAAGGTGCTTCAGCTCACACGGCCATAACCACGGCCAAGGCCTTTCATTCTGAGCCTGTCCTCTGTCCTACACAATTAGATACAGGTCCCCTTCCTGCCCTGCTGGCGATTTATGGGTGTTCTCATGAAATACAGTTGAGTTTGCAGTGTAAGAGTGCTTTTTTAAAAAATGCTTTAGGGGCTGGCTCAGCAGTTAAAAGCACTTACTACTCTCCTAGAGGCCTGCCACTGCCTCCCCAGAGCTGGGATTAAAAGCATGCACCACCACCATGCCCAGCTCAGATTTTTTAACTTACTTACTTACTTATTTATTGTTAGGTGTGCTCATGATAGACAAGACGTGCATGCCACGGCACACATGGATATCAAAGGACAATTTTCTGGAGTCAGTTCTTTCCTTCCACCTTTATGTGTTTCCTAGGGATTAAACACCAGACTTATTTAGCAAACACCTTTACCTGCTGATCTGTCTCACCAGCCCTGTAACCCAGATATTTAGGCAGGAACAATGAAGTCAGAGGGAGTATCTCAGTGCCTACTTTGTGCCAGGTTAGGCACTTTGTGTGTCATCTCACATGACTCATCCATCGGGGGAACAGGTCTCCATGTTCTTCCTTATTTTTCATTTTTGAGACAGGTCTCACTTGGTAGCCCTGGCTGACCTGAAACTCACAGAGATCCTCCTCTGCCTCTTGAGTGATGGTATTAAAGGTGTTCAGACTGTTCCCATTTTACAGAGAAGGTAATTGAAGCTTGGCAAGCAAATTGTTTGCCTAAGGTCATTTAAGAAAGAGATGACTGAACAAGAACTTGACCCTAGAAATGTTATGCCTTAAATGTGTGTGTTATACCATTTCTGTTTCTTATTCTTTTCCTCTGACCCTGCTTCTACCATATTAGGAAGAGAGGGGAAAGTAAGTAGAGAGCACTAATGCAGAATCTTCTCAGAGAAGAGTAGCAAAGGACAATGGCTATCAGCATGTTGGCCCTCTCTGACCTGCTCACATGATGGCGTAGGCACCGTTTCTAAAGCTGTATTCTCCCCTAGAGTGACTGCACCAAGCTGTTCAGTCAAGGCATTGGAGGGGAGCAGGCCCAGGCCAAGTTTGACAGCTGCCTTTCTGACTTAGCTGCCGTGTCCAGCAAATTCCGGGACCTCTTGCAGGTAAGCCTAAGTTCAAGCTGCTGCCGTGACCTCTGTGAAGACTGTGCTGGCTTACCGTGGGCCTCGCTGTGGGTAGGGAGACAGGGAGACAGCAGGGGTGAGGCATGCCAGCCACTGAAGGCATGCACGTCCCTCAAGACCAAAGGCCTCACTATTCTTTTTTTAGCATGTGTCACATGAACAAGCCAGTGACTGGTCCTTTAGAATCTCTGTTTGGCCCCAAAGTGACAAGAGCCCTTAGAAAGATGTTCAGAAGAATTGAACCATGTGGCTCAATGATGCTTGACCTTAGCCACAGGTGCTGCCCCCACCAGGCATTATGAAATGGCCTTTTGAGATTTACTATAACAATCTCAGGACCTCATCTCTGGACCTGGACCTGCACAGATCTGCAAAGGGCACTTTCCTGGCTTTTATTATTATGATGTCGACTATGGTTCTTGAAGTGCCTGCAGGGACCCTCAGCTGCAGAAGTCGAGAGGGGTGGAAGATAAGGTAAGAGGTCAAACATGTATCTGATGTGTCTCTACCCTGTCCTGGTGCAGGAAGGGCTGACGGAGCTCAACAGTTCAGCCGTCAAGCCGCAGGTGCAACCTTGGATCAACACTTTCCTCTCAGTCTCCCACGACATCGAGGAGGTCAGCCTGACCACAGCAGTCATCAAAGGCAGTGAATCATCTGAGCAGAATAGACCTTAAGTGCTGCCAGCCCACCTCCATCGCCAGAGGACTAGATTCCTCCCAGGAAACAGTTTGTTCATGCCATCAGAATGGCTCAGAGGGACATGTGAAGGGACCTGTGACTCATCTACTAAGACACATTTTCCCCATGTATCATAGACCTAGGAGCCTTTTATTTATTTGATTGTTTAATTTTTTTTGAGACAGTCTCACTATGTATCTCTGACCATCTCTGCCTGCCTCTGCGCCCCAGGTGCACAGCCATGTAAGAGCTTTATTCTCCCCGTCCAGCCTTGCTCCAGCATATGGACCATTGCTGTAGCGCAGAGCTGTTTGTTAGTTTGATGTGAGATACAGGAGCATTGCTGGCCAGCCTGGGACTCAAGCTGTTTTTCTGAGTTTGGTTAGGGGTTTTGTTTGTTTGAACAGGGATTTCTCCTTTTTTTCCCTTGAGACAGGATTTCTCTGTGCAACCCTGGCCTGGAATTCACTGTAGACCAAGATGGCCCTGAATTCACAGAAATCTACCTGCCTCTCCCTCTTGAGTGCTGGGATTAAAGGTGTGGGCACCACAACTGCCTGGATGAATAGGAGATATTTTTTATTTTTGTTTTATGAGGCAAAGGTCTCCTCTCACTGTGTAACTGAAGCTAACATCAAACTTAGGGCACTTTTTCTTGGCTTCTGAGGTTACACATGCCCACTCAGGCTGATTTTAAAAGTTTTAGAAGTTGCAAGGAGAAAGAACTTCATATATCATTTACTTAAAGAGCAGAGGAGAGATGAGGTGAGTGGTACTTCTTAGAAAGAGGCCGTTGGCAACTCCCATGTGCTTTTTACAATAGGAAGAATTCAACGACTATGAGGCCAATGACCCTTGGGTACAGCAGTTCATCCTCAACCTGGAACAGCAAATGGCAGAGTTCAAGGTGAGAGTTTGTGGAAATACCCATTCTGCCCTCACCAACATCCTGTGGCCTGCCACTCTTCTATAGACTCCCTACTGAGTGGCAGCCTGTGGAGATACTACCTCTTCATGGAACTGTCTCACTGGAAGACTCAGTATTAAAGGCTGAGGGGCTAGATGGTACTCCTACTGATAACAAGCTTTGTGCAGGCCAGCCTGTCCCCAGTCATCTATGACAGCCTGACGGGCCTCATGACCAGCCTTGTTGCTGTTGAACTGGAAAAAGTGGTTCTGAAATCCACCTTCAACAGGGTAAGTTCAAAGGTGCATGGGTCCACAGCTCTGCCCTATTAAGTCATATCTTCTCTGCCATCAGCACACTCTACTTATCTAGGCCCAGTTCTGTCTGGCTTTGAGGCACTAGAACAGATTGAAACCATAGGCTCAGCTGGTCTCGTCTACTAGTTTTTGTGTTTTGTTTTTTTTTTTAACATGTATTTATTTGGTGGGGAGCACATGCCACAGTATGTATGTGGACAACTTGCGGATATCCTGGTTCTCCGTATGGGTTCTGGGAATCAAAAGACTGTTGGGGTTGGTGGCAAGCACCTCTTTCTGCTTAGCCATCTCCTCAGCCTTTGCTTCCCAGCTCTAAGGGCCACTGGATTCTAGTTCTCTTTCATCACAGGGTCAGGCCAGAGACAAGGTTCATGTTCATTCTCCTGTAGCTAGGCGGTCTGCAGTTTGACAAGGAACTGAGGTCACTCATTGCTTACCTTACCACCGTGACAACCTGGACCATCCGAGACAAGTTCGCCCGGCTCTCCCAGATGGCTACAATCCTCAACCTAGAGCGGGTATGGGACTCCCTCAGCCTAGCCCAGAAAAGTGACTGGAGAGAGTCCATAGCATTTGGAACCTTGACACTCCCTCATTTGCTAATAGCGCAGTTGTACAAGGCACCCCCACCTTCCTACATGACCCTGCCTTGTCTTAGTAAAACCCAGGAGCGTCTCTCAGAATGGGCTTACCCATGCTGACCAGTTTACTCCTCCCCACAGGTGACTGAGATACTTGATTACTGGGGTGCCAACTCTGGCCCTTTGACGTGGCGCCTCACCCCTGCTGAAGTGCGACAGGTGCTGGCTCTGCGCACAGACTTCCGCAGTGAGGACATCAAGAGGCTGCGCCTGTAGCTGCCATTTTGTGCCATGTGGCCCACCAGACTTTCAGGACCTGTTTTCTAAGTAGCTACAGCCAAAGAGCTATGCAAGGCTTTCTGGCTTGGGTAAGCCAGAGGTCCAGACTATACCACTGCACAACAACCAGGAAGCAAGGAGTGGACCCACTTCGAAGTTCTGCCCAGTAGCAGTTAAGGCTGGAGGCAAAGGGAGAGGTACTTTAGGACAGCCTTTCCCAACACGGAGAGATGGAAGACTAAGCAGGCAGCATATGGCCCAGCCAGCCTTCCTATGAGGGGGGTCATTCTCTCATCCTCACACTACAGCAGGCGTGACGTCCCTGATGGCATAGAGAGCTTGAAGGGACCTGAAGACCTAAAGGCAAGGTTATGATGTTCACAAATAAACATCAGAATAAGATACTGCTTGGAGATGTGCCTTTGTGTTGGGTCCGGGAAGGGCTAGCTGCTTGGACAAGTCCATTCCACTAGTGGCCCTAAAACCTGAAGTCAAATCCTCTGACATCCAGTCACATGACAGCAGGAGCTGTCCTGGTCTTCAACCCTCTCTTGGACTGTCAGCCCCAGGAGCTGGATTGATCCAGGGGCAGCTTCCCACAGTGTCAGAAGTGGGAACTACTCCCAGCAAAAACAAGAGTTCTGAAGATGACCTTGAAAATTAGAATTTATTCCAAGAATGCCAGTGTTGAGAACCCACTGCCACCATGTTCCCTTAGTATTGTCTGTAGTGTTGCTGGAAAAGGCTCAAGTTAAAAGTCAAAAACTTGCTGTAAACTGTACTGGTTCACTGCCACAGACCTGGGAAAGGACCTCCACTCTTTGCTGCCCCAGCACTCTAGAAGGCTGAGGATCAAAGTTGAATATGAGAATGCCCTAAAAGGATATCATCAGGGTTGGTCTGATTGTCATTCTTTCCAGGGCCCTAGTGGGCCTCTACTGGGCCGTGGAATTCGTCAAGTCCACGTGAGACACTGGCACTGAGACCTTTCTTGATCCAAATGCAGTAGATGCTGTCGTAGCCGCTGCCCACCAGAAGTACAGTCCTGTCCGCAAACACTGCCTCTTCTGCACAAGTCTTGCTTCCTTATCAGCGGACTTTAAGAGGTAGGTGAGGAATAGCAAACTGAGCTCCACTGAAGGGAAATGCAGCTGTAGCTCTAGGTGTTGCCTGCTTCGGAGGGCCCAGCTCCACAAAGATGAGTGTCACATCCTAGAAGCTGCAGACTCAGGCCCTGAGTGTCCACTTCCACCAAGTGGACACTGTAGTTGCCAAGGCCCTGCATGGAACAGAGGGTGTTGAGAGAGAACTCCCAGGCCTTCTGGAGGCTGGACTGATACAGGGCCAGGAAGACCATGATTTGGTAGGCTATAGTGGGGTATTTCAGTCCAGCCAAGTTCCAACCCTGAGAGCAGCACATACCTCAGCCTTGGCCAGCACAGCTTCTACAGCCTCCTTCTGCCGCGGTTCCTTGGTCAGTAGATAGAGAAAGCCCCCACCGCCTGCCCCTGCCAGGCTTTGGCCATATGCGTAAGGAGCCAGGACATTCATCATTCGCTTCACAGCCAGTGGCTCACAGCCTGGGGCCATAAGCTTCTTCTGTTCCCAATATGAGGTCAGGTACTGGCCCAGGAGAGGCAAGTTTCCTGGGGTTGAGGTAAAGGGGATGGTTTATCTGGGCCAGCACACTCAGGTGATAAGTTGTGCAAAGGGAAAAGAGTATCAAAAGGCATGTCTTCACCAGTCTTAGAGCCAACTGCACAGGCTTGAGGACTAGTAAATATAAAGCAACTAGCATGGGGGCCAACCCAGTCAGTATTCTAAAGCCTCACCCTTGGGGAGTTGTGCAGCCCCCGCTTCCCTGAAACTTAAGCAGGGCAAACCTCTTCTTCCTATTTTCTGGTAAATGCAGTCAGAGGGCCTTTCCCATGAGAGAAGTTTTATGCTGAGATAGGGCTTCCACAAGGAGAAAGCAAGGTCCCCAAGGGGCTAATATGTGGAGCTGTGTCATGCCTCTAAGAAAAGATTTACTTCTGGACGGGTAAACTCCTCACCTTGACGGAAAGCTTCAGCACACTTCTCAGTCTGTCGCACCAGTCTGCGAGCATTCTGCACCACAGCAGGTAACCGAGCATACCAGTTCCTCAGCACATCCTGCAGGTGAGGCACGGAAGAGGCAATGAGAAATTGGGCTCAGCCAAGGCCAGCCAAGAAACTCCCTTCCTTAGAAGGGGTTGGGCTCACCTGCAGCAGATTCCGTGCCAATCGGGTCTTGCCAGTATACACCAGGAGCAGGTGGTCACTGATCTTCTGGACAAAACCCTCAGGCACAGTGATTTCCTCCACCTCCACCTTTAGGGGTAGCTGGGCCCGGGAGCGTCCCACCTTGATGCCAGGCACTAGGCCACTCACTTGGTCCTGCCAGCCACCTCCTATGAGGCCAAAGTTCTGTCACTTTTGGAGCCTATGTGGCCCAACCTTACCCAGCCTCGTTTCATTGCCTTGAACCTCTACTGGAATCAGAATGGGAAGACAGCTTGTCCCAACTCTGGCTAAGCCTAGTTAGCCATGATAGCAGGCCAATCCCGGAAGGGGAAAGGGGCTGCAGTCAAGACCCAAGTTTGTTGCAGATCTGATGCAATCAGAGTCGGTATAAGACACATCAGAAAATATACTTCCACGTAATCTGTCAGTGCCTCAACAATCTGTCTTCTAAGAATGTTTGAAAATAAGTTCAAGGAGGCAAAAAAGATGGCTGCAATTAAAAGTGCTTATTGCTGTTACAGAAGACCAGAATTTGGTTTTCAGCACCCACATCTGGCAGCAAACAACCACCTGTAACTCCAGCATAAGGGGATTAAATACCTTCTGGCCTCTGTAGACACCCACATGTACACATCCCCACAGAAAGATACATATAACACAAAGATGTCTTTGTTTTTTTTGTTTTCAAGACAGAGTTTCTCTGTGTAAGGGAGTCCTGGCTGTCCTGGACTTGCTTTGTACAGAGATCCACCTGCCTCCCCAGTGCTGGGATTAAAGGCATGGGCCACCACACCCAGCTAAAGACATTAAAGAAGGTGAGACAGCTCTCCGGAGTAAGTTCCAGGACAGCCAGGGCTCCATTGTATGTGTGTAGGTATGTGCACATGAATGCAGTACCCAAAGATGTGTCAGGTCCCTTGATGCTGGAGTTACAGGTGGCTGTGAGCTAGGAACTCTCTGGCCCCTCCACCACCTAGAACTAATTAGCTACACTGGCTGGCCAGTGAGTCCCCGGGGAATCCTTGTGCCCATCTCCCAGTACAGGGGTTATAAGCATGTGCTTTCATGCCTAGATTTCTGTACTGGTCCTGGGGATCTAAGGCCAGGTCCTCATGTTTGCACAGCAAACA